AAGTTGGAGCTGCAGTAAAATGGTTTGTTTTAGTATCAAATCTTATAGTTCAGTTTTTTTTTAAGAAAGCCATATTATTTATAACACATCATGATCTTTAAAGTTTGAAAGACTTTACTGTGAAAGTGGTCTTTTTTTGAGTACTAAATTACAGGGGTGGAAAGTAATGAATTACATGTACTCAAGTTACTGTAATTGAGTACTTTTTATGAGTAATTTGTAATTTTCTGAGTAGTTTTTGAAATATGTAATTTTTACTTTACTCGAGTAAATTTTAACCTAAGTAGTTTTACTTTGCTACATTTAAAACCCCCTCACGTTACTGAGTAAAAAAAAAAAAAAAATACTGATGGTGAAAAATTTAATGTGGCCCTGCCTTGCATTTACCCTTTGTATTGTCTCATAATCCAGTGCTGCGCTTCGGAAGATGGCAGTTGCTAATCACAACTTAGGGAGTATGGATGAGGAAAGGCCTGAAGAGGAAACATATTCTGGAGACGAAAGCCAGAAAAACCCTTTGCCATATTTGGAAGGATTATTTGTTTTCAAATGCACAAAAGGGAACAATGTGATAATGCAGTGCAGCATGTGCCTGCCCAGCAAAACGGAGCTTTCTGCATCAACATCCAATTTACGAAAAAATGTGGCGGTAAGTTAGTTATCATGGTGTTGTCTGTTGGACAGTAGGATTGAAAATTGTTTGCACTTTATGGTACAGGTTCTGACTGTCTTTGTGCTGAAGAAGTATGTTCTTTAGCCCAGCTGATCTTTTGTAAGTGTGGATGGCCACTGAAATACGCCTTGAAATCGATTAAAACACCTTGTGGTCAATTCGATTCATGACTCATCCTTTTTTTGCATTAAATAACTCAAAGTAACTTTTACTCAAATTACATTTTAAATGAAGTAATTTTGTACTTTTACTTGAGTAAATTTTGAGATGGGTAATTTTACTTTTTCTCTGAGTAGAATTTAGGCAAAGTAAAGATACTTTTAATCAAATTAAAATTTTTTAGTACTCTTTCCACCTCTGCTAAATTATAAACATACCTACAGCCATAGTTATTGCCGTGTTCAACCAATAAACAGGCGGCATGCAGACCTGTTTTAACATGCATACTTTTTGCTGTGTAGGAAGCTTGGCCTTTAAGCAAGTGAAAATAAACCTGTGGTGTTCGTGTTGAACCTGCTGGCAGAGTTAAAGATGGATTATTCCTGTAACAGGGGAATTCTCTCCCTTGGTTATCAACAAAGATGTTTCACAACAAAAAAGTTTGCTAGTAAACCCTGTAAGGGGGCTTGCACCATCAGGATAATCCCTCATTAAATGACATCCAAGCCTTCTTTAAATCCCCTTTTATATACTCAACCTAGAACAAAGAGCTACCTTTGAAAAACTGTCAAGTCATATACAACTAATGTGCTCTGTTAGATTTAAAAGTAATGAGAGCTGAAAATCAATAGTAAATAGAATATTATTTTTATCTCTGTTTTTGCCTTTTAAAGTTGGTTAGGCTTAGCAAATATATGCTGAAAATAAAAAGTTGCCGTCCATTTTTTGATCTCAAACCCAACAATCTTAGTAAGATATGATAAAGTAATTGGAAGGATTTTAACGTCCTGTTGAAGATGTACAGTAACAAAGCAAAACAATAGCCATAAGCGTTTGCACTATTTTGTCCACTATGCAAAAGAATGAGACCAAAACTTTGTTGAAAACACTGCCAAAGAAAACCCAAGTATTTATTAGAATTATTCTTCTGATGCTTTATTAGTTTGTCTTGTAAAAAAAATGAATTGTATTGTTGTATTCAATAAATATCCAGCCAGAGCTAACACAGACTGGTTTAAGCCGGGGGTACACTGTGCGATTTTTTTCAATTGTTACACGAAGCTACGGCTCACACTGTACGACTAAACCGCAGGATAGGTGCGATGTGCAGATGTGCACGATGCTCATGCTGCACATAAATCGCTCGGACTCAGCTCCGCAGTGAGATATAGCTGCTCTGACTCGTCTATCTGGAAGCCAAACAAATAGAAGAGGAATATGAAGCTCACTTAAGTAAAACGCGCTGCGTTGGCAATTTGTCCAAATTGGTGCTGAAAGCCCTAAAAAGAAAAGGCGACGACGTATTTGGACAAATTTGGAGCAAACGTGGCTACTACGGTCTGTCAATTTTACAGAAAGAACTCCATTTCACTCATTGCACCGCCATGCTTCTGAGAGGAAGAAGAAAAAGAAGAATCCTTGTTTGCCCACTGAGCGATTTGCCCACAACAGCCAGGAGAAAATCAAACAATCAATGAACTGCAGGTGGTCATGAGAGGCTGATAGCCCCTCTTTACCCCCACGACTCACGACGCACGATCAGGCTGAAAGTCAGCTCGATTGAAAGATTCTCGCACGACTGGAAAATCGCCCCAAAATTGCACAGTGTACGCCCGGCTTGAATATCAATTTGTTAAAATGGCCTACTCAAAGTCCAGACCTAAATGAATTCAAGAGACGGGTGCAAGGCCTAGAAATGTATATTCCTGATGTTCCCCACCCAGTTCTAACGATCTTGAGCTACTTTGCAAAAGCTATAAGCAGACATACCTCCAAAGACCTGCACTTAAATATAAAACAAATTCTAAGCAAATTTAAACCTGGGCTGATTATTCTGCTGCCATTCAACAAACTCAAATTCAAACTCACATATCATCATTTTTCAAGTTTGGAAACATTTGAATATTACAAGATCGCTGGACTTTACTGTGAATCTGGTCCAGCCTGGAGCACCTTATATTGAAAACTAAAAATGTATTTTAAAATCTTGCAACAGACATCTGCATGTCAAACAATACATGTGACTAAGATTTAAAAGCAAAGAAATGAGGCACACTTTGTTGATCAGGTCCTATCTTTTTTGTTAGGGTATGCAAATTTGGACTGACAGATGTGGAGTGTAAAATGTTCCAGTGCATCAGAAATAATTTACATTGCCACAACATAACCATCGGTCTTATTTTTCCTATAGCTAGTTATTACCAGAAAACATTAAAATTGAAGTTTAATGCGCTACGTGCAATTTATCACTGCCCTAAAGTCTTTAAATAATTACTAGCCGAATTCTTCAGAAAGCAAAACAACAGCCACAAGTGTTTGCACTCTTTTTTTTTCCACTTTGCAAAAGACTGAGACCAAAACTTTGTTAAAAACACTCCCAACGAAAACCCAAGTACTACTAAGGGGAAATAGTACAGCAATTTTCTGGCCATGGTGTTATAGAGCACAGTTGAATCCAATATTTAAAAATGGAAAGTGTATCTCTCAACTTAAGCCAACTTGGCCTTGCACTTTGATAGAAGCAACCAAGAAGTAAAGATAGTAGCTGTTGTCAGTTTCTGCCCCCACACTGTGAAATAAGCTGCCATTGCCACTTAGACAGGCTGACACACTTCATGTATTTAAATTTTCTCTATGAAAAGATGATTTCTTTTGTACGGAAGAGGATTAGGGCCACTGAAAAAAAAAAAAAGTTAACTGATTTTTAAATTTTATTTCAGTTTAACAGTCAGAATTCTGACTATTTTCTCCGAATTCTGACTTTAATCTCAGAATTCTGACTTTTTTCTCAGAATTCTGACTTTTTCCCTATACAAAACTGAAAAAAAATGTAAAAATCTGTTAACTTTTTTTTTTTTTTTTCCAGTGGCCCTAATCCTCTTCCGTACTTTTGGATTCTGATTGAGTGTCCAATTTTATAGAAACTAATAAGTCTTCTGAAGTTTTATTAGTTGGTCTTACTTCACTTCTATTAATATACAGTGCTTTGGTCAGTAGTGTTTAAAACAAACAAACAAAAAAATAATAATAATAATAATATATATATATATATATATATATATATATATATATATATATATATATATATATATATATATTTTTTTTTTTTTTTTTGTATTGTTGTATTCAATAAACATAAAGTACAACCAGAGCTAACACAGAGTGGCTTAGGTTAAAGAATATCAATCTGTTAAAATGGCCTATTCAAAGTCCAGACCTACAGCAATTCCAGAAATGAGTGCAAGACCTAGAAACGTATATTTCTGATGTTCCCCATCCAGTTCTAACGATCTTGAGCTATTTTTTGCAAAAGCTATAAACAGACATGCCCCCAAAGACCTGCAGTTGTTTAGTTTGCAAAGAAAGGTTACTACAGAATATTGATTAAGGGTTTCTGAAAACACTGCATACCACAGTTTACAGATTCTTATTGACCTTTTCAAAATGTGTACCTTTGAAAAAAAACAACATATTTTCCTTTCATTTCATAGCTTCCGTTAGTCTCTCACTAAATCTTAATCTAATGCAATCAAACCTGTGCTTCTAATGCCAGAAAATGTATAAATCTTTAAGGTGGTATAATTGTTTTGGCAATCCACATTATTAAGGATTAATAGTTTTATAACAATTTTACAGATACAATTGCAAATAGATCCTACAAATACAAAACAGTTTATGTCAAATTTCCCCCCCTTAATTCAGCAAACAGAAAGGTTGAGTTAAAGTTGTTTCTTTAAACTCCAATGGTTTTTGACATTTGATTAAAATAAGTGTAACCAAAGTCAGGACAGTGATTCTAAAAGCAGAAGTTACAACAGATTTACTGATATCTGTAGGAGGAAGGTCAAAGTGTGGGAAGTAGTGCAAGCAACTGGGTTCACATCATTCATGTCATGCAGTGTCTAACCTGTTTCTCTACTCGTTTGGATTCACACTGACAGCGAACTACTGTATGCTCTTCTGTTTTGTTAAATAAAGTTGAAAACAAATTGGAAAACACAAACAAGTAAGGTTATTTAAAATTTTATGAAGCAGGTTAAGAAGATTTGTTAGCTTTTATGTAAAATAAAATACAGCCCTGAATATATGAATGTATTCCACCACCTGTGAGATAAAATTAATTTCTGCAGAATTCAAGCAAGAATAATAAAAAAGGATTCTGACTTACCAGAAGTCGGACTCCATCAATTTTTAATCTGGTCACAGTTGCAGCACAGTCTTGCATATTATTCTGATGGTAATCACAAATAATTTAATTCAGTAACACTTCCTGTAAGCTACCTGATCCGCAGCATTAACCCTTGAACACTGAATTATTGAGTCAAAAATGCTTCCTCCAATTAGCTACTTATATTTTATGTCCTTTTTTTCATAAACTCACCTTACACATAAAAAGAGCCACTTTCACCTGGTCCCACCCTTCACACTCCTCTCTGGACGGCAAATTCATGGTTGTCACCGCAGGGATCTTCTGAGCAGCAGCTCGTCTCTGGACGTTGTGATTTCAAGAAGAGTTTTCATATGTTGATGGTACTTAGAATAAAAATACATACCCAGATTCATTCTTCATCATACATAAACATGGAATGTGATGGAACTGGAACTAAAACCCCGATTAACATTTCCCCGTTGACTGTCTTACGGCATCAACAAAAGGGAAGCTGGAACTTCCTGAAAAATATTCTATATTAAAACGGAAAGAAATCCAGCGTTACACAATACTGGAGATATATGTTTTCACATCTCTGTTAAGGGGATTATTTACTAATCTAATTTTAAATGCATATTTCTTTATATGCTCTTTTTCAATTAACTCTACAGACTTTTTTCTTACCTCTACAGTGATCATCACACAATTGAACTTATAGCAATGTCAGAAAGACCCACTATTATACTTTAAATTTCAAAAATGGGTTGCAGTTGTGTTTAATGAAATATTACAGTGATGAAAAATTCCCAAAGCTTATCCACAAGTGGGCTCTAAAGATAGTAACGTTTCTGATCTAGAAACAGTTTGAAAATTACAGTTTGACATGTTTTGCTTTTTTTTTTTTTTTTTTTACCCCAGATACTTTTTGACATCTCTGTCAACATCAGTGTTGCTAAAGCAGAGAGAGAAACAGTTTGAAGTCTTGCTGTAAACGAAGCACCATGATCACAGCACTCTGCTCCTTTCACAGTAGAAAAATGATGTTGACAAGGTATTTTGCATTTGCATTACTGGAATTTAGTGAACAAAGGTTCAGTCTTAAAGTCTTTCAAAAAAAAAAAGAAAAAGAAATAAAGGCATTCTCAACAGATTTAGTTAAATATCGAAAAAATTCTAAGCAAATTTAGAGCTGGGCTGATTATTCTGCTGTCATTCAGCAACTTCTCATTTAAAGTCTTGTTGTTTCCTGTGTTAATATAAAAAAAAACCTTTCATATCATAATCTTTCAAGTTTAAACTTTTGAATATTAAAAAAATCACTGGACTTTACTATGAAATTGGTCCAGCCTGGGGCCCCCAATGTCTAAAACAAAAACTTTAAAATCTTGCAACACATATCGTCATGTCAAACAATACATGTGACTAAGATAGAAAAGAAAAGAAATGAGGACGCAATTTGTTGATCAGGTCCCCTATTTTGTTAGGTTATGCAAATTTGGATTGACAGATGTGGCGTGTACATTGTTCCTGTGCATCAGAAATAACTTACATTGTCACAGCATCACCATCTGTCTTATTTTTCCTATAGCTAGTTTAGTTATTACCGGAAAATCTTGGAATAGAAGTTTAATGCACTACATGCAATTTATGACTGCCCTGAAGTAATCAAATAATTACTAGCTGAATTCTTCAGAAAGTACTTCAGGCTGCTGTCAGTTGGTCAGGCATTCTGCCTGCCCAGAACCTTCCTCATAGGAGCCGTGCATTAAATTAGGGTGACCAAACGTCCGTATTTCCCGGGACATATCCGTATTTCACGTCCTGTCCCCCCGGGTTTTTTTTTAGAAAGTGAGGAAATGTCCTGATTTCACTGCGCACGACGCTCCGTGTGACGTAATCCCTGAGCCGCGTCAGTGCGGGCAGCCCTGTTCTTAATCAGAGGCTCTGTTCGAAAACCTTGGCTGCATCCTCCAAGGACGCGGTCTACCTAGACTGGATCCTTCGAAGTCCTTGAAAATCAGGAGGCCGGAAGAGTTTTGGCTGTGAATTCGAACAGGTCCACCCTTCGGCGGGTTTTACCGCCGTATGCTCTGTTGCTTAGCAACCGTGACAGTTGACACGCAAAGCAGGAAAAGAATGAATCCGAGGTTTTCAAAACTGTTTGTTTATTTATTTATTTTTTAAAAAGTTAAAGTGAACAAAGACTGATGAGAATCCAGAGTGGAATAAAGATTCCAACCACCGGGAGCAGGAACAAATCAAATCAAATGTAATGATAGAAACCTTAGTCAGTTAAATAACCTGCTGCTGTCATTCTGCACATCTCTGATGTTGCTGCTATTTTCAAATATCCATTACTGTAAAAATGTCCATAGCTGCATATTGGTTATTTATTCTCCAGTTTTATATTGTTAAAACACTTTACAGAATTTTATTTTTTATATTTTAACTCTTCCCTATTATGTTATTCTTACACATTTTTTTAAGGTCCTCATTTGTGTGACCATTTTCAATAATCTGCTGTAAATTTGCCCATTGTGGGACAATAAAGGGATTTTCTATTCTATTCTATAAAAGGGGTAGAAAGATATAAGTAAATCTAAACAATGTATCTACAAAATGTATCTGCAAAATCTCTAATATTCAACAACAAAAAGTACTTAGTTAAGCATATTGTGCAAAACAACAATAAAACTAAACTCCTATCAGATTTATAGTTCCTGCAGATTTATTAGAATCTGTCCTTAAATTCCAGCCAAACTCATTTACACAGTAACAGATAAAAACCTTTAGATAAACCAAACATTACCGCCACATATCTGACTCTATAACCATTAAAACAACTAGTAACAAGTAACATTTCCTCTCATCACTGAGCAAATCCCGATGATGAGACATCTGTTCTTTCAATCAATCGAACCCCCCCCCCCCCCCCCATACAAGGTGTCCTGGTTTTCCCAAATGAAAATATGGTCACCCTAATTAAATCATTTCAGTAATATCACCAAATGTCTTTGTAGTTACATTTTTGTTGCGCTTTTTGTTGGTGCCGATATCCAGGATTCATAGTGACATTTTTCAAAAGAATAAAAAAACATCTGAGGTGGCCTGGCTTAACTGGAGATGATATTGGATATATTGGAGTATTAAACAGATCAAAAGAAGATGCTCAGGAGACATAGAAAAAATAGATTTTTTTCCTTAAGTTAGACAGCCTCTAAAACACTGCAAATAAAAATTGGGACACAGATGTTAGTGCATAATTGCAACTTTGATTGTACAACAGTATTATTGGTAATAACAAATATATGTTTGTTGTGAGAAACTATCTGCTACACAAAAAGTGTTTAAAAAGAATTTTCAGCATAGTTTAAGAACCAAGTATTTGCCTGGTTCAAATAGGGATCATGAAACATTATTTTATTAAATCTTGTTAGACGTTTGATTTAAGGTGAGTATTGATTTGTAAGGCAGATTTCTTTTAACTCTTTGTTCACTGTTTTGCTGACATGAGTTCCCATAACTTCCTTGATTAACAAAAAATGGAGATGGTGGAGAATTGGAGCACATTGTTCCTCTGAGTGAAATACAAGCCACTTATCAACAGGGTACACGAAAATAGGAAACATCTGTGGTCAGACGTAGGTGATAATTTGTTACATTTACTCAGTTATATTTACTTGAGTAACTTCTTTAAAAATTGTACTTTTAGGAGTACTTTTACTCCATTTTACTTTATAGCTTTACTAGAGTAAAAATATGCTTGATTTTAACAAAAATACACCAGAGAGAGACAAACACCTACAGTTTATATAAAAGTGGGACATTTTTTTGTACTTCAGCTTCATTGGTTTAAAGTTTTTGCAGTTGTTAACAGATACATCCCTATTTTTGTTTTTTGATTGATGGGCTAAGGAATTACCCTGCATTTGACAGGATATGTGTCGAGCTACTTTAAAAGCTGAAACACCCCAGAAATCAGGATCTTAAACTTTGTTACTTCCATTTCTTATGAATTTGTAAGAGCCTTGCACAAAAATTCTCTACCATTTGGTCTACTTGGTTAGATAAAATAATTAAATAAGTTTATTCATTAGAAAAAGACCAAAATTACGGAAGCCAAGAGCGGTCGTAATAAACTTTTTTTTCTCCTTTGCCTTCTTGAGATAATGACACAACTATCTTGTCATCACCGTTAAACCATTACTTATAACAAGATAATTATCTCGTTATTACGTGAAAACAGATATTGATTTCTTGAGATAACAAGATGAGTAACTTAAAGTACTTAAAATAGCCCTGGATTCCCAGTCCATCCATGCCTGTGGGGCCCGTAGTTGTGCAGTCGCGGTACCGAGTGTAGACAGATAATAATTTTTTTGTTTCCTTTTTCTATCCACTCATTGTCAGGTCGTGTTGGATGATTGCATTGCATGGAATACAGTAGAAACAAATCTGACTGAAAATCTTTAATCTGGACCCATTTTAGTGGTTAATGCATCTTATACCTGTTACAGGCGTAACACCAGGTCTGTTCAGAAAACAGACAGAACACTGCAGCTGAGGCACCAGAGGCATAGATCTAATTGCACATGAATCAGAAGTGGAAACAAATCATCAAACCAACTACGTTGTCTCTTTGTGTTGTTGGATGTGTGTATATATTATATAAAACTGTAACTGGAGCGTGTAACAAAAGTAATTTCCCTTTGGGATTATTAAAGTATTTCTGATTCTGATTCTTTACCTAAAAGTTAAACAGAGGATTATTCACATTATTACACATATAAATCCTCTCCCACTGTTGTGGCACTGAAGGATGTAATAGGTTTTAACACGCACCAACCATCTTGTAATGATGAGAAAACATTTTCTTTAGATGAGAAAATGATCATGTTATTATGGCAAGAAAATGGCTTTCATTATCTTTAGATAATTAGAAAATTAACTTGATTTCTTGAGAAAACCTCTGTAAAAAAAGAGGGACACGACCGCTTCCGGCTTCCGTATAAAATAACCCTTTGCTTACTGAAGAAAAATACGGTAAATCTCAAATGTAATTTTCTAACAACACACTTTGATCTTCCATGCAAGCTTCCAGAACTTATCTAACCCCTCTGTATTCAAATACAAATACATAATTCCTTTAAAAAATCATCAGCAACATAAATGCAAAGGACTTCAATGTTTCTTTATTAAACATACAGCACACACTGATATGGTTGTTTAAAAAAGGAAAATCTTTTTGTAGTCAATAAGTGGCAGTAAATCATTCAAGTACCTTATTTTTATATAACTCCAACCACATGGTCTGATTGTATGAGTGATATTCTAAGTTTATTTACTTTTTTAAATTTAGGTTGTAGAGCTTGAAATTACTTTTTCACTTACTGGTTAGTTTGACTTATACTTAAGGTAATGGAAAAAATAAATATGGTCTTAGGTTCAGGTGCACTTCCTGTTTT